GACCAGGAACCCCATGGCTAAAGGTATAGCTCTGGCATCTCCCCCTGGGCCCCAGGGTCCATACCCAGTCTCAGGAACCCTCCCTTGGGGCACCTGACCCCTTTTCCACACTAGAGTCCTCCCGCCCAGGCTGCAGCTCCTCCTTCCTACCAGCACAGCCACACTGCCTACCACACTCCCCCACACCCAGAACCTTCCCAAGTTCACTTCTCTTGCTCCATTGCCACTCCGACCTAGCCTTCACTCTGTCCCGATTTCTAGGGTGCCCCTTCTCTCTATGCCTGCTTTCTCCGTTCACACTGAGTGCTCCCCAAGGACAGGGCTGTGTCTCCCCCTCAGCCTGCCATTTCATTGCCACCTAAGTTCTTTATCTTCCCTCTGGCTCTGCAGGTGCACAGGATGTCAGGGCAGTGCAGTGGGCTTGGGGAAGGCCTGACATCCCTCAGAACCCTTCCTTCTCCTATCCTGGGGCCCTTACCTGGCTGGATGTAGCATCTGGCCTCATGGGCAGTGAGCGGCAACACCGTAGGCAGTCCCGCCACGGAGCGAACAGCCTCCATGTGCAGGAATCGGCTGGTGATGTAGATGTTGTCGAAACTGTCCCAGTTTAGGTAACAGTATCGGTAAAACAGGGCTCTGGTGGGGTAGAGTGCATATGAAGCCCCTTCTCAGCACCCCTGGCCAGACCCCACAGGGGCACTCCCTGCCTCCTTCCCACAGGCCTGCAACTTCAGCCTCCCAGGAAGCCATGGGGGTGAGCTGACCCCCAGTCGCTCTAGAGCTCCATGCCCAGACCAGCCCTGTAGCCCCTCACTGGAGGTAGAGAAACGTGAGCAGCAGAGACGTTGTGTAGCCCATCAGAGCCAGGGCCTCTCGGACATGGTACAGCTTCAGGCTGACAGCCTCCTGGAGGTCCAAAGCTACCTGGGACAGACTTCGAGAGGCATTGAGATTCACGGAGAAATGGTGGGTGGCTGTCATGTTGAACTCAAACTCCCGACGCACACGGTTAATCAGCTTCATCACCGCTGGGGTCAGCAGGTCCAGAGGGAATGTGAGCAAGGAGAGTTAGAAAGGGGCAGGGCTGCACCAGGAGGGGGCCTGGCACAGGTGTCACAACTCCCAGCATTTGGACCCTGTAGATGATTGCATAGTGCCTAAGGCATTTGACTGCTAACCAGAAGGTTGGTGGCTCAAACTCACCAGCACTCTGAGGAAGGAAGACTTGGCAATCTACTTCTGTAAGGATTTATCACCTCAGAAACCCAAAGGGGTTGCTTATGAGTGAAAATCGGCTTGATGGCAATGAGTTTGGTTTGGACTGAGACTCTACTTATCTGTGCCATGGCTAGCACAATACCTGGTATACATTAGATGGATGCTCCATAAAGATTTGGTAAGTGAATGAATGAATGATCTCAATGACCTGCCCTAGGGAACAGGGGACCCTGGTTCTAGTCCCAGCTCCTCTCCTAAAGTCAAGCTTTGATGAGGTTCCCTCTCCTCACTGGGCTTCGGTTTCCCGATCTGCACACTGTGGACAATGCCTGCCTGAGTAACTTCTTGAGGCTATTTCCAGCTCTTGCATTTCATTCATGGACAGGGAACACTCCTGGCCAGCCCACAGCCATACTAGGACAAGGGAAGGAGCACCGATCGCAGCAGAACATGGAGAGGGTCACTCACGGATGCCGATGGTGTTGCGCAAAAAGGGCTGGATGTACACGGGGATGATGCAGAACACCTGGGCCACTGAAAGGCAGAGTGGGGTGTCAGGAGGAGGGGCAGAGGGTCAACCAACCCTCCCACTTCCCGGGACCCTCTTTTATTTATTTATTTTTTTTCAATTACTTATTTATCTTTATTGTGATTTAGGTAAAGTTTACAGAGCAAATTAATTTTCTATTCAACAATTCATACACATTTTGTTTTGTAACATTGACTGCAATCCCCACAGTGTAACAGCTCTCTTCCCACTTCTTCCTTGTGTTTACCATTTCCTTTCATCCTTCTTTCCTATCCCTTCCTGACTTCTTTTTTTTTTTTTTTTTAAATTAGGATTTGGGTGAAGATTTACAGAGTAAATTCACTTTTCATACAGCAGTTCACATATACTTTGTCTCGTGTCATTGACCAAAATTTACAATGCAGCAGCTCCCCTCCCACTTCCTCCCCATAGTTACCTCCTCCCAGTGTCCATCCCTTCATACTCTTCTGCACCCTGAGCTATCTCCCTGTGCATAAGCAGCCCTTCCTTCTCCCATGATTGTTCTCTCCAGGGCGTGTGTCTACTTGAGGTAAATGTTTAACTCACATGCCTGTACTTTGTTTGGCTGGAAACCACAGTTGTGGGTTCAGTTCCAGACCTGAAGGGCAGCTAGGGATCATAGTCTCAGTGGTTACTCCAGGCTCCATTGGACCAGCAAACCTGGTCCCCACCTTCTTTTTTTTTTTTGCCTCCAAATGATTTTGAGTTTTGTACCACATTGTTCTCCCTCTTTATGCAGGATCTCCTACATCCCTTCCAAGTGGATGGCAGTGGTAGCTGGGCACCATCTAGTTCTTCTGGTCTCATAATTGATAGGTTGCAGATCGGATGGTGTACCAGTCTCTAGGACTGGTTGTTTCCATTAATTTTGGTTTTCTTCTTTCTTCTTGACAAGGAGAGACCCGTTGTTGCATCTAGATGGCAGCTTCCTAGCTTTTAAGGTCCCAGTCGCTACTCGCCAAAGTAGTAGGTGGAACAATGTTTTGTATAGTATGTTATGCCAATTGAGTTTGATGTCCCCTGCGACTATCCGGGACCCTCTTTTAAAGGACCCCTTTTTAGTTTTGACTCTCCCATTGTCCCTTCCGTATTGCCCACTACCAATGGTGCCTCCCTGTTTGTTGTTATTAGTTGCTGTTGAGTGGATTCTGACTCACGACAACCCTACGTGTGCAGAGTAGAACAGTTCCACTGGATTTTCAAGGCTGTGTCCTTTCAGAAGCAGATCGCCAGTCTGTCTTGTGAAGCTCCTCTAGTGGTGGGTTAGGCTAGTGGTCTGTGGCTTAGCCCTGCCTGCCACTCAGGGACATCCCCCTCCCTGTCAGTCAGGCTCCCACATACCTGTTGGCCCCCACGCCAGGCACGCCAACATAGCCCCATCCCGCCCCAAGCTAGCTCCTCCCTGTGGGGGAACATGTGGTTTTCTCACCGCTGGCAAGTCCACAGAGCACCAGTTTGAAGGGCATGAGCACATAGCACAGGTGGTAGGCCTGTGGAATGACCTTCATGCAGTTGTCCTTGGCATCCTCAAAGATATGCGCGCACTTTGAGTACGGGTTGCCCAGCTCCGAGTTGCACACATCACCGATGTGCAGAAGCCAGTACCACACACTCCGAAGGGCCCTGGCTGGAGACAGGAGCAGGGCTGGCACCAAGGGCTGGAAAGCAGCAGCACTTTCTCAAGGGACTGGGGAACACTAGGGCCACACTCAGAGAAGACCAGTGGTCAAGGACCCAGCTGTGCTATATCCAGGGTGTTCTCGTCAGCACCCAGGAGGGACTGAAGAGGCCTGAACAGAAATGGGGGCAAGGAGACTGGGTGCATTTTACCCACCCACACACACACACCCACACCCCCTCAAAAAGAAAACAGATACGCAAATGTGCTGACCTACATGCCTCACGCCATCCATGATTGACCGGAAGAACTTGCGGACCTGGTCAGCCACCACTTTGGCCTTCTGGGCAATGGCTTTAATCTTGTTCAAGGCACCTGAAGGGCAAAGGGCAGGGGCACTGTGGGGCCTCCTCTTTGGGCGGGGGTTGCTGATTTCTCACCGTAGCCCCTGAGCCAGCGAGTGGAGAGGAGGCAGCCATTCCAGAGGTGGGGAGCCTGGATGCTGCGGTCTGGAAGAGTTTTGATCTGATGGTAGAGGCAGGCAGAGAGTGAGGCTGAGGGGCCTCTGGAACCAAAGGACCCTTTCTAGGCCCCAGATGCCTTGAGGTTAGGACCCAGTATCAGCAGAGAACCCAGCTACAGCCCAGAGGACTGTAAAACACACAGGACAAGGGAGACATGGGGGAGTGGGAGAAGGGGGCCTTACTGACAAGGGGCTGCTTGGCCCGCTCAAGCACTTCAGCAGACTGGTTCAGGGCCAGCTCGGCCCCACAGGCCACAGCCTCACTGGCACGGGTGAAGTTACGCAGGGTGTTGGCACAAGGCCCTTGCAGAACCAATCCAAAAGCAGCCACCAACAGCAGTGCCCGGCCCTGTCCTGAGGAAGACATTGTCATCAGAACCAGAACAAGTCCCTTATATAAGTCTGGAATATTTCCCTCAACCCACCCTTTCCCTCAGTGCCAACGTACTCCCCAACCCCAAATGCCAGGCTCACTGGAGAAAGCCTGGGGCAGCAGCAGAAGGACGGTTACTCGGACCTGGCGAGAGAACCCCATGCCCAGGCTAAGGAAGGCAGCCAGAGTGAGGGTGCCCACAAGGCAGCCCCAGGGGCTGCGCCCTTCCACCAGCAGCTCCAGCAGCCCATAGGCCGTGGCCAAGGACAAACCCAGGGCAAAGCCTGCCACACTACGGACCACGGCCCGTGCCATGCTAGGCTCCTGTCCCCCCAAGGGGGGCACAGCTTTCTTCATGACTTTGTGCATGGCTGCTAAGACTAAATGTTTGCCTGTCTCCAGGAAATGCCCACTAGGTTCTGTGGCTCTTAAAGGGCCTTGGAATTTCTCACCATGTTCTGAGGTTCCAGAAGCCTTTTACTGTATGTCTCTTGGAATTCTCTTACCCAGTTCCAAGGACTAGGGTGGGGCAGGTTGGTCTCTACTCTCCTTCCTTACATAAACCTTTGGAGCAGAGGAATCAAAAGACACAGACTTCAGGCACAGGCTGTGTGTGAGGCAGAGAAGGCTGCCCCTCCTTTCTCTCACCAGAACCTCACATCCAAAGAGATTCCTCAGGAGACTTCTGGGGCGAGAGGGCATTCCTCAAAGCAGAAGTATGGCCATTGGTCTTGATCAGAATAGAGCAAAGGGACCAAGAAGGAAACCACCCCACACCAGTGAGTCAGTCACCAGAGATGCTGCGTCCCTTACCAATGACCCCAGTCCCCATTCCTTTCATCTAATCGCTCCTTCAGGATTTCCCCACATCACACCCCTTCCCACCTTGAGAACCCCTCAGCCCCCACCCCTCCCATCCAGTGCCACTAAACCCAGCCTTTCTTTTTTCCCCTTCTCACCTGTCCCACTTCCTCAGGGTCCTTCATCTCCCACAGAATCTTCCCAAGTTCCTGCCACCCTCATCCAGCTCCCCCAGCCTGTACTCCAAAAAAGCCCCTAATCCTATTGAGCCACATCCCAGACACTTCAGGGCTGTTGGCCCTGCTGGGCTAAATGTCTTGACCCCACAGCAGAGGTGCAGAGGTTCCTGAGCTGGGGGTTGCCAGCCTCCTACAGGCGATTCCTGTGGCGCCAGCCAGGCGAGTTTCCTGTCACGGCTTTCCTGCTGGGGGCAGGCACTGGGGGGCTCCTTACCATCGGTAAGTGTGTAAGCAGGAGCTCAGGGGTGGGCGGAGGCTGGGCCAGGTATGGGACCTATCTTTTGGCCTTTGGCTTGACGCTGTTCCCCTAGGGTTCTTTCAGCTCCTGGTAAACCCCATGAACATCTATGAACATCAGAAGATGATGATGCTGTACAGCTTGGTAGGTGAGTGATGGGCAAAGACCAGGAGCACATTAGAGGCTTGTGGAGCATGGCCCAGTACTGGATGCCCAGGAATGAATCTGAGCTTGTCTCTTCTGTAGCTAAGCATCCCTTGTGGCCTCAGCCTTGTCCTGGGCTTTGTGGGTAGATGCAGAAGGATGAGCCCCTAGTCTGAGGAGGAAGATGCAGTCCTTGTCCTGAAGGAGACTCCCCAATCTGAGGGACTCCCCGTTGCCCACATGATATAGTCCAAATCCCCAGGAGCCTTCATAATTCCCATCTCTCCTGGCCTCTCTAGCCTTGTTTCCTGCTCCTCCTAAGAAAACACTCATCCATTCAACATTTATGGAGCACCTGCTAAGGATTCAGCCATGAATGTGCAACACTGACAAGCACCTGACTCTCTTGGAATTTACAATTCATTGAAGAGAGTCAGATAATAAGTAATAATAAGTAAAAAAGACCATTTCTAATGGTGACAAGTTCTATGAAAAAAAGTGAAACAGGGAGAATATTTCCTTCAACCCACCCTCTCCCTCAGCCCCAACGTACCCCCCACCCCCCAGTGCCAGGCTCACCGGAGAAAGCCTGGGGCAGCATCAGGAGGACAGTTACTCAGACTGAGATTGATAGGTGCTGAGATTAATAGGGAGAGTGATAGAAAGACACTGGGAGAGCTACCCAAGCTTGAGTAGGCAGGGAAGGCTTCTCAGAGGTTGCATTTGAATGGAGATTTTGTATCAGGAGGTGTTGGGCTGCACGAATAGAAAACCCACCTACAAGTGGTTTAACAGTAGAGAAAATTCATTATTTCACACAACAAAAAGTCTCAAGGTAGGGATTTTCTTTTTTTCCAGAGAACACATTTATTTGAGGAAATTTCAGGGCATCAGCTACAGGGAAAAGTGTTCTGTCTCTCTCTCTCTCCCCCTCTCCCCCCCCCCGCCCCCTGTGAAAGGGAAGATCCTTGTCTCTCTTGGCTTCTGGAGCCTGGTTCCTTGGTGATCGCCATGTGGCATCTATCTTCCCTGACATGTACTTGCTTCTCTCTCTGTCTCTATGTCTATGCTGTTCCTTATATCACTCTGAAGTCATTAAGACACTGCACCACCAGAGCTCCTAGGTTATATATATGTGTGTGTGTGTGTCTATATATACATATATATACATATATATATATATATATATATATATATATATATATACACATGGGATCTCTGGTGGTATAGTGCCTAAGGTATTTGAGTGCTAAGTTGAGTGCTAACCAGAAGGCTGGCGGTTCAAACCCACCAGCCACTCCTCGGAAGGAAGATTGGGCAATCTATTTCCACAGTGATACCACCTCGGAAGTCCAAGGAGGGGTTGCTATGAGTCGGATCCAACTCGATGGCAGTGAGTTAGTTAGTTATATATGAAAGAAAGAAAATGCAAAAAGAGCACGAAGGGAGGTGTTGTCTTACCTCTTCTAACTTCACGAGGAGGAGACAGAATCACCATCAGCAGCATCAGCCCAAGGCTGGTCCCTTTGAGGCAGAAGTCAGACATGCGACCACCCTCTAATCTTTTTGCCAACTCTAACACCAACCATCCCTCCTACCACAGCACTCTCTACTTCTCTGCTAGGTTCAGTAATTCATTGCAAATGGCCACACAGAATTCACACATAATACTCTTCAATTATGGGGTTTATTAGAGAAGTAACTGGTTACAGTTCAGGTTCAGGAACATTCAGGATAGAAGCCTTTGATCAGGACAGCTTCTTCTCAGCCATGCCATGGGGACACTTCTCTCTGGGCTCAGCTTCTGCCCTGCTTGGGTCAGTGTTACAAAGCTCTTTTAGCTTTGCGGAACAGGTGCCCAGAGAGGCACCCCATTCCACCAGCAAGTCTCCTGCCAGAAGGCACTCGGCTTTCTCACCCAGTGAGGGGGGAAGCCCGCTGCTCTGTCTCATGCTGGTCTCTTAGTTCTGCTACCTCTGCTGCCACCATTTTTCTGCCTTCTCAGCTCAGGGATCTTAGGCCCAAGGAGGATTCCACTCCTGGCTCGTTTCTTTGGATGGAAGTGAGATTCCCTTTCCCACCTCTGGGATGGGTCATTTTAAGCTCAGTGGATGGCAAAACTGACCAATCCCCACATTAGGATTCCATATACCTTATGTCCATGGTCCTGTCTCTACAAGGTGCCGTGTACCTTATTTACGTTATTAACAAGCTGCCCAGTCTACTTGGTGGGTCATGAGTGCCTTACATTTTCATGGTTCCACCCAGTCACCTGCTGGCCACCACAAAGACCATGGCTAGAAGAGCCATATTAAGTAATTCACCACCCCACACAAAACATTTGCCATTGTAACATGTTTACATGTACAATTCAGAGACATTAATTATGTTCATCACGTGGTACAACCATCACCATAGTACCTCTTTTTAAGAATAAGGAAACATTTCACAAAAGGACAGATACTGTATGATCTCACTGACATAGAATAAGCAAATATATAGAAACAAAAGATTATTAGTGGTTACCAGGGAGGGCGGGGGGGAAAGGGGAAAATTTTGCTTAGAGGGCATTAAGTTTATGTTCATTGTGGTACAATCATTTGGAAAAGAATAACAATAGTTACACAACATGAAAAATGTAATCAATGTCACTGAAGTATGCATGTAGCAATTATAGAATTGGTGAATGTTTTGTTGTGTATATTTTCACCACAATAAAAATAAAATAATAATTTTTTTTTTTAAAAAGTAAGAAATCCTTCCCAGAACCCCCCAGAAAATCCCCTCATTGGGCAGAATTGCAGCACAGGCCCTTTCCTAAGCCTACCCCTGGCAAGGGAAGTGGAGTTTACATTGTTGCCAGTTTATTGAATGGACTAACTTCTATGGGATACCAACTAGAAACTATTTTTCTCTGACTACTGTATTCAAACATGCTCTCTCATTGATGATGTTTTAGTTAGACCCTTAGCTTTCCAGCTATTTTCATTTAGAAGACCTAGACTTGCTTCAAGGAGCTCTGGTGGCACAGTGCCTAAGGCATTTGACTGCTAACCAGAAGGTTGGTGGTTCTAACCCACTAGTTGCTCTATGGAAGGAAAATGGTCCAATTGACTTCCATAAAGATTTACCACCTTGGAAACCCAATGAGGATTGCTATGAGTCAGACTTTACTCAA